TGTGAACTTGCTGCCTGTTTTGATAGTAGATGGGTTTATGATTTTTGTAAGGGATCCTCTTTTGTAAGGGATGCTCTTTTTGTGCAAACTCACCCAGAACAACAACAACAACAAGGACAAAACAGATAAAGTAGCGGAAAGAGTAAGGTCAAAAGATGGAACTTAAACAGTGTCCCTCTCCTTTTTTCTCCCTACCTACCTCTTCATGCCTATCTGCTCTCACTCGGACACACACACACACGCACGCACATACACACACACACACACGCACGCACATACACACACACGCACGCACACACACACACACACAGAGTGAGGAATAATCTTACCAGAACTCTGATTTTTATGATGATGATCAGTTTCTCGAAAAGTACTTGTTTTGATATAAATCTAAGAGAACATCACTGGAGAAAAATAGACTGCCGTTACTCATTTGTAAATTAGCAGTAACTTGGCTAGTCACTACAATCAGATTAAATAAGAACTATACGTTTGTACATTTATATTTCAACTAGTCAAGTGCATTTTTAAGTTCCATTTGACATCTAGCTAAGTTATCCATGCAGGGGCGGGGGGGGGGGAGATCTCTCTTGAAGAAGAATTGGCCACAATCAAATCTTCTCATAATTAGCAAATTTTTAAAAACTGTTCTTTGATGTAAGCGATTTGATTTCTGGAGTAGAATCCTCCCATGATTCATTTCAGGAAAATGATTCCTTAACCTATTTTATGGTCTACTTTCGGACATTTTCATCATCCCCAAGCTGTTAGTGATTCTCAGAAAGAAACCTCTTCATCTTCCCACTTAAAGCATCCAAAGTCCTTATACTTTGATTTCTTCTACAGAGTAAATTTTTGAATTGTAAGAAACAACTGTATATTTGCAAACAGGTTTATAAGAAAAATATTTGTCTATCAAGTTAATAGTCAAAATGTATGGGGGCTGCAAGGAACAAAGCTCACTTAAAGTGGTTCGGAGAGTTCCGTCTGGTAGGGAGGGAGTGGGTGTTTAGCCAGGCTTAGACAGTATTTAATTTTAATGTTTTTTTTCCCAAGCTGAAGATGACATGTTGGGTTTCCTACTGACTGATTCCTCTCCCCCTCTCCCCCAATGTTTCTGTAACTGGCTCATTAAAACAGTATTTATACAGCTCCATTGGCTTTAAAGGTCTTAGTCTTTCTAATATTTTGGATTTTACATGTAAAATTTAAAAAAAAATAGAAAAGAGACAATCAAATGCCTGGAGCTTAAAACAAAGTATGTGCAACCTACCATCTCACTTGAAATTTAATAAAATAAATAATTATGTAAATATAACATAGAGTTATAGATTTATATTTTGTTCATAACACATAGTGTAATATAAGTTGTATATTTTCATGTTTTTTGGTTTTATGTTATCATTCATGCCACAATAAAAATAAAACAGGAGTTTATGTACTCTTAAAAAAAATGTGGGTTATCACCCACCTGTTTTTTGGTTTTTGGTTCCTTTGTTGTTTTGTTTTGTTTTGCATTCTTTTTTTTTTCAGTATTACTGCCATGAAAGGCACCAATAAAAACAGCAAATGTGTTCTTATTACACTGTGTTTCCTCTCACAATTCATTCATAGTTTGGGTCTGCAAAGACCAAAAGTTGGGGGAATAATCGCGCTTTCAGAACTATCAACCCCACGGATGAATTGATTTCGAACCCAGAGCTCAAGGGTTTGATTTCCCAGTCTCATTATTCTCAGGACAAGCCAGCACCCAGATCTAGCTCCAACTCTCCTTGTACTATTTGAGTCTTGAGTACTTGAATATACCGGACCCCAATTCAGCCTTGGTTTTGCTACAGCTGGACCAGTGCCATAGAAAAAGAATTCGAATTTTATTCCATTTATATCTTGAACTCCGAGGAGTAGACATAGCTAAATTGTTTCCTGTTCTGAATTCTACACTCAACATTCGAAGCAAACGTTAAGAAGAAATTATTCCCAGTGGCTGTTTTTGACTGACTTGTCATAGCTTTGTCGTCGTTTCTCAGGAGAGATTTTGTTAGAATGGTTACTTCATTGGTTGGGTTTTTTTGTGTGTTGTTGTTTAGTTTTGTTTTTGCCGGGCCTGGGACTTGAACTCAGAGCCTGAGCACTGCCCTGAGCTTTTGTTGTTCAAGGCTGGCGCTCTACCACTTGAGCCACAGCTCCACTTCTGGTTTTCTGGTGGTTCATTAGAGAAAAGAACCTCCCGCACTTTCCTGCCCAGGTTGGCTTTGAACAGCGATCCTCAGATCTCAGCCTCCTGAGTCGCTAGGTTTATGGGTGTGAGGCCCCCGGTGCTGGGCAGTTGGTTGAAGCATTTTGTAAATAAAATCATTATCCAGATACTGAGTCAGAAAACACTTGATTCAAGTGAATATGAATTCTACAAGGAGGATTTCTTCTCCCAATTTTGCCCACCATATCCCTAACCAGAATTATCTTACAGTCTTGTGGATGGAGTTCAGAATTCACTCCTGAAAATGGAAGTCTTGAGCCTGAGGAAGAGAAGCAAAGTGTGGAGGGACACAAAGCAAGCTTTGCTATCTATGTATTTGCTTCTGAAGGCGCGAAACAAGCACAAAGTGGGATTATTGACCTCTCCCTCCTGTCTCCTGTTCTGTTATTGTCCTGTTTTGTCTGCTGGTCCTGGGGCTTGACCTCAGGGTTGGGCAATCTGTCCCTCACCTGTTTTGCTCAGAACGGGTGGTGTTCTACCACTTGAGCCACACCTCCACTTCTAGGTTTTTGCTTAGTTCACTAGATTTTCCTGTCTGGCCTGGCTTTGAACTATGATCCTCCCATCTCAGCCTCCGTAGTAGTTAGGATTACAGGCAGGAACCACCAGCCCTGGGCTTTGTCAAATTCTGTCGCTCCTGTGGCCTACAACACTATTACTTTAACTTCAAACTCCTGTGAAAATCTTGCAGGCAGTGATGAGGTACTGGCCAGCCACCTGGCTGTGTCCCTCCATGGGAGATTCCATCCATCAGTTCCATGTCTCATTACCAATGTCTCAGGGCCTAGTGACTCTTCACCCCAGCAAAGCAGTAGACATCAGGTGCTTAACTGGAAAGGTAGTTTCATAAAACCACAGCCCAACTCATACTGGGAAGAAGGGAGGCAGGGAAGGGAAATGCTCATGGTAGACATTCTGTAAAGATTCATCTAATACCACCTAGAGCTGCATTAGTCATAGATATGATGCTAAATCACTTTAGCAAACATTGTCAGGATATACTCGTGTGGGGGGGGTGGGGGGGTGGGTGTGAGTGTGGATGTGGGGAATCTGGTGTGTTTCTTAGCAAAGTAAGCAACCGTCATCCCACCAAATAAATTTGACTTTATTTTGTCCTGTGGATATTTCAATTAAGAAACATTCATTTGGGGCCTTTTGCTTTTTTTGGAATGTTTAAATCTAACATATAATAGTAGATTGCTTTTCTCCTGCTATTGCATTGGACAGCTAAAAAAGTACTGGCAATAGTGAACATATATATATATATATATATACATACGTATATATATATATATATATATACGTATGTATATATATATATATATATATGTATGTATGTATTCCCCCGCCCCCAAATCTCAATCCATTTGATTTCTGAATTAAAGGTGGTTTACGAAAATAATCCAATTTATTTTCTTGAGCTATTACAGCAGTCTAATAGCTAACAGAGAAGACGGGTTTTAGAAGTAAGCACTGTAATTAGTGTGTGTAATGTATGCAATAGTATTACTGAAAGACATTCATTAAAATAGTTCTGTTTTCTTAAGCAATCCAAACATCTGTCTTGCAATTTTAGTGGGTTTTTTTCTTTTTCTTTTTTTTTTTTTTTTTTTTTTGCTGATTTGCTTAGCAAACTGATTTTCACCACAGAGAATGAATCAGTTCAGCTCTGATCACAATATGTCATCATTTTTCAATTAGTCAGATTGAGACACATGAGATTTTTCTTCCTTCCCATATTGGCAGTTTTTAAAGGATGCAAACAAATATGGAATGGTACTTTATTGCAACTCAAAATATAACCAAGAGGACAAAAGTGATGCTATCATTGATGTCTCTACTGATCAAACTGAAAACAAACAAACAACAACAACAACAAAAACCGAACTACCAGAATAATTGTAGGAATTCACTAGGCAAAAGCAAACACCACTGTTTTGTACCGCTGCCTGTCCAATTACTGAATTTCAGAATCTGGAAAGCAATCCTCATTATACAAGAACTGTAAAATATATTTGAAATAAAGCCTTTGTTTATATAAAATCGCTTGTGATTTTTCTTTCCGTCAATAGAAGGAGGGAGGGTCTGCGAGCCCCATTCTCACATGCTCACCAACAACAAAGCCTAATATTGCTCAGCTTTATCCACGTTGACCTTGCGTAACCATCAGTTTTGCCTTGTGTTCTAACCCGCAGACAGCCATTAAACACGCTGTGGTTATATTAAGTCCTATTTCCTCCCACACTACAGTCTTTGCTTCTAGACCCTAACATGAGGGCCTAGACCCTAATGAGGACCGTTAGTCCTCATTGTCACCATATAAGGGTGGAATTCATCATCTAGAAGTTATCAGGAGACCTTTTACCATAGAAAGGAGATTAAAGTTGTTCGTGGTATTAGGACACAGATACGAACTACAGATTTTTTTTTCCCCCAATCTGGGGTCATGAACTCAGGGTCTGGGTGCTGTCCCTGAGTTATTCTGGCTCAAGGCTAATGCTCTACCATGAGCCACAGTTCCACTTGCAACTTTCTCAGGGTTCGTTGGAGATCAGAGTCTCACAGATTTTCCTGCCCGGGCTGGCCTTGAACCGAGATCCTCAGATCTCAGCCTTCTGATTAGCTAGGATTATAGGCGTGAGCCACTGGTGCCTGGCAAACTACACATGTCAGAGAAAGGATTTTTGATTGCCCCTCTTAAAAATTTATCAATTTCTTCTGTACCCACCAATTCCCTCAGTAGGTAAGCTTCCATACATCGCCTGCACCTCCAGCTCATCTGATGGAGATTTTTCCACTTCCTATTGTCAGAATCAAAGCTTTGAAAAGTTCCCTTCGTGTTTCAGATACATCCAGATTCGTCAGCTTATATTGCACACTTTAAGAGAGCATCGGACATTCGACACTTTCCAAGTAAACTTAAATACCCAAAGTCTGGGCTGCACCATGGTTTGATAGCTAGACATTTTTTAGAGCAAGGTACATAAAGGTGGGTGGGGCTTAAGTGGCAGAGCACCAGCTTTGACTGAAAGAGCCAAGCCAGAGCACAGGCTTTGAGTTCAAGCCCCAGTACTGGCATTAACAACAACAACAATAATAGTAATAATAAATGTTACTGAAAATGAATGATAAGGAAAAAGGACCTGATGAGGCTGTATTATCAGTGACTTAATGACTCAATACTTGGCAAACATTAAATGAATGTTGCTAATCTGACCTATCTGACAAAGTTCTTGAGTTTTGACAAAATCTTTGGCCCTAGGCACCTTATGGCTTTTCAGCCATGTCCAAAATATGATATGATTTAGAAAAATAACACAAATACAATGTTACCAGCATAATGAACACATATAAAATTAATAGACAAAGAGGAAACAGTAAAATAATTGTGCATAGTCCCCTATTCTACAAACACATACTGAAATGTGGGTACATAAATATACATATACATGTACACACACAGGTGTACGTGTATATTCCTCTGATTTCTCTGTGTGTGTGTGTGTGTGTGTACTGACCAATCACTAAAAGACTCTAATCACTAAATTACAAAAATAAACAGCTCTTATTTAAATAACATTCAAGGTAAAGAAGATGGATTTATGGATCAGGGAAATTTTTATGTTGTACTCATACTAAGGACCTCACGGTCTTGCTTGGCCTTTTCTCTCAAAGATGGCACCCAACCAACTTGAGCTACAGCTTCATTTCCAGGGATAAGGAAATTCTTGTAGCATTGTGGAAAGCAAGTCACGTTTATCATGAGAATCCCAACTGACAGATGGATTTCACGAAGGGATAAGAAACAATGTAAGAACCATGTTCTGGGAAGAAGATTTGCTGTGATGGTGTGTTTCATGGATATGTCTGCTAGCATCCTTCACGGGAATCTCAGACAGACAGTGCTCTCTTAGGGGTCACAGAGAGGGGATATCTATCTATCTATTTATATGGAGATATCTGGATATATAGATTATAAGGATTTACAAGGATAAAGCTAGAGTCGTTACTATTATGATGAATATATACCACATCCCAAAGACAGGCTTCTTTGTGAGCTACGGACATGCTTCAGATTGGCTTTTAATTGTGCTGTGTTCTGCCTTAGGATAGCATTGTGCCCCTCAAAATACAGAAGAGAGAATTAACACTTCTCCTTTCAAAGTTTATCACTTGAGAGAAAATAACACCAACACACATTCAGCAACCAAATAATATGGGCATATGATTCCTGAGCCATAAACAACCAGGGATACAGGATCTCAGATGAAAATGGGAATTATCTTACTATAGCATAGAGTAGGTAGCAAACAGCCAAATACCCACTGAAACTATAAGAGCTGGAATAAATTACATATACATACATATAATTAAAGTGATCAGTGCATCATCCTAAATGAATATATAATGGAAAATTTTTGCACTGTGGGATAATTAAATCATGGATTCTTTGTAGTGCTTGGATATAAAATGACTAAGAAAAAATTCTAACATCAAAATATGTAAAAAGAAACATAACCCAAAATCATCAGGAAAACAAACGGCAGAAATGGACCCATAAATGAAATGAACATTGAAGTTAGCCAAAGAAAACATTAATGCAACTAGTCCTAAAGTGATTGAGATAACAGATTAAAAGTAGCCAAAGTATGTTAAAGGATAAAAGTCTATAAATAATCAGATTAACATAAGGGGGGAAAATCCATTAAGTTACAAAAAGTAAAGCAGTTTAAACAGGTATAGATTTCTCCAAAGAACTATGTACATGCATTAACTGTGAAACATTTTCAAAATTTATAAACTATTATACATCAGGCACCTGTAATGACAGCTACTCAGGAGGCTGAGATCTGAGGGTGAAGATTTCCTAGCCTGGGCAAGGAAATCCATGAAGTCTCATGGAAGTGGAGCTGTGGCTGAAGTGGCAGAGCACTAGCCTTGAGCACAAAAGCTCAGAGCAGTGCCCCGGCCCTGAGTTCAAGACCCAGAACAGCCATTAAAAATCAAAATTGTTATGTTTCTCTCCTCAAATCATCTTCAGTGCAATTTTCTGACTCTACTTCTTTGTGGCAGAATTAAAAAAAATTTTTTTTGCCTGTTCCTTTAAGCAATGTGTACTTAAAAAAAACCATTCCTAAAATACAATACTGTGTTTACTATCTTGTAGTGGTTTTGCTAATTGAAGCAATGAACTCCTGAAAGCGCAGTGAGTTCATCTTTCTGGTGTAATAATTAGCTGAGTAGTTAATTATGTAGAATAAGTGAAATAACTGAAATCTGAGAATGCATGGGTGGAGAACACTAATATTTCACAGGAATGATTTTGTACCCAGGACATTGTGGTAAGGCGAGAAGTCAGAGAAGCCACATTTAGAAGGATTGAATCTTGGAGTCTATTCAAAGGCCAGCAACTGCATGGTGGACTCCTGTCCCAAAGACCAGCAGCCAGCAAAGACACAGTTACAAAGTACAGCTAGGAAACTGAGCCATGAAGGCCAGAGAGGAAGGAAAGAACAAAAACAATACCAGGAAACCAGCTCAGCTCCAGTGCAGAGCTGAAGAGGGACACCATGGTGACCAGAGAAGAGCCAGGAGCCCAGAGACAGGACAGTAACACAGACACATGTGGCCTGGTGTCATGGCGCCTGAGTGGGTCCAGGCCTAACTAGAGTCAGGGCAGGGGGCAGGGTCACAGGAAACTCCCAGTCTCAGGCACTGGACTGACAGGTTTAGTAGCCTATCATCCAAGTCCCCGCCCCTGCTTCCAGGGATTCGGTGCTGTCCATCACCTGGGAGGCGGGACTCCCCTACCTCCACCATGAAGACAAGATGGTAGACTCCACCATCCACCGTGTACCCAAGATGGCCCTGGCCAGACCTCACATCCCTTCCTCAACATCTGTTTTCTTATTTGCAAGGACAATTGCTTGAAAAATAAATGGGAGGGGTGTTTAACGACATCTGCAGGCTCAGTGGCTAATGGTGAAGAGTGGATAAGTTCTGGATCATAACTGGATCCAGCCAACTCCAACCTTCAGGTGGAGACTCCTTCTCCCCTACTGGGGGCTCCCATGCAATTCATGGACTTACTTCCCAGTCCCCAAGGTTTGCATCTCTTCTTTAACTCTGCCTCCCTAGATTTAGAGGCCACCTTTAATTCTTTGCTCTCTGGGAAATTAGACATAATTTTAACCATTTTCACACACACACACCTAAACAAACCCTGTTTTCAGAAGCTCCATTATGGAGTCCACGATATGACGTGTGTGTTTGTGTGTGTAATATTTTTTTATTTAAAAAAAGATCTAAGAAGGCAATGTTTGTCCTACAAAATTAAGAAGGGGTCTGTAAGGTGAGAGAATATTGAAAGGGATGTCATAGATCAACAGATGCATTCATTAATGGAAACTCCATTGGACAACTGCTTAAAGATAGTCATTTAAGAAAACAAGCTGGCTGCTGGTGGCTCAGGGCTGTCATCCTGTCTACTCAGGAGGCTGAGATCTGAGGGTCGTGGTTCAAAGCCAGCCCAGGCAGGAAAGGCCGTAAAACTCTTTATCTCTAATGAACTACTAGGAAACCATAAGTAGAGCTGTGACTCAGGTGGTAGAGTGCCATCTTTGAGTGAAAGAGCTCAGGGACAGCGCCCAGGCCCCGAGTTCAAGCCCTGTGACCGACAAAAAAGAAAAGAAAAGAAAAAGATCCAAAGAAACAGCGTCATCGAAATAGTCACTTTTCTCTGTTGAACACATTCTCTCCATGAGGTTTCAGATACAGTTTTGTCTTTCTTACTTTTCCTTTCTTTCTCCCTCTCTTGCTTTCCTTCCTTCTTTTTCACTTTCTTTCCTTCTCTCCTTCTCTTATCTTCCTTCCGTCATTCTTTCTTACCTTTATTCCTTCCTACATTCTTCCTTCCTCTCTCTTTATTTTGTTTCTCCTGTCTCCCATCTTCTTTCCTTCCTTCCTTCCTTTCTCCCTTCCTTCCTTCCTTTCTTCCTTCCTTCCTTCCTTCTTACATTCCTTCCTTCTTTCCCTCCTTCCTTCCTTCTTACATTCCTTCCTTCTTTCCTTCCTTCCTTCCTTCCTCCCTTCCTTCCTTCCATTCTTTCTTTTCTTTCCTTTCTATTTTCTTTCTTCTTTCTTCCTTCTTATTTTCTTTCTTTCTTCCTTTCTTTCTTCTTTCTTATTTTCTTCCTATCTTTCTTTCTTCCTTTCTCTTTCTTCTTTTTTCTTTCTTTAACAGCAAGCAGGGCAACATCTGAACGTCTTGCTTTTGCAAGGAAGTTTGCATGTATTTATACCTTAGTTAATATTCAGCTTCCGTTCATTTCCAGCTTCCACTGAAGAAATGAACTGAAGTGAATTGAATGCTCAAAGGTTCTTTTGTCGCTCCGCTGATAGGAAGGCAAGTGGAGCGTGGGTGGTAGGACGCACTACCTCACCTGCTTTATTGTGCCTGAATAAGAAGGTCAGTATATTATCTTCTGCGGGAGGAGGAAAACACATAGACAACTTCTCAAATGACAATAAAGACATCTTCTGACAGCCTGATGGAAACAGAGTTAAAACTTTTCTCTTTCTTTTTTCTCCTGGGGCGGGGTGGGGGAATTAGTATTTAAATGACAGATGAAGGTAGATGATGGACAAAATGTATTATTCTCACAGCTTCTTTTAGTTGTGCTTTTTTTCCCTGAAAGACTATCGCCTTTGAAGACTGAATTCAAATGGTTATAATAACATATCAGTTTATCAATAAGACAAGTAGTGCTGTTCTTTGAAGCACTGTTTTGAAAAAAAATCCTTGGGCTTTGTTTCCCGTGTTTCAAACACCACAAAAACAACTAAGAACACCAAACAAAAAAAATAATCTATTTATTTTAAATGTTAATATAATGTTGTTGGATTCCAGTTTG